GGCCGACGAGGACAACGGCGCCCTCCTCCTCGGCGAACTTTCACCCCGTAATTGAGCACTCGTGGTTAATTAATGACAGAACCTGGATAGGCTGAGAGTTCCTTCGGGAGATCAGGCCCGCCTCTTCCGCCTCCCCGGGACAAGTCCAGGCCCCCCGCCCCTCCTCCCTCAAGCCAGGCCCCTTCTCCCTTACCCGGAGGCCCAGCCTCCGCCTCCTCCTGCCTCAGACCCCGGAGCCCAGGAGTCTAGTCCTCAGCCCCTCCTCCATCAGACCCAAGACTTGGAAGCCCCCAGCCCCTCCTCCCTCGGACCTGGAGTCCAGACCCAAACCCTCCTCCCACAGACCCAGAGTCCAGGCCCCCAGCCTGTCCTCCCTTAAACCGGGAACCCCTTCTCCCTTACCGGGAGTATCAGCCTCTGCCTCCTCCTCCCTCAAACCCAGGAGTCCAGGCCCCTAGCCCCTCCTCCCTCAGACCAGGAGTCCAGACCCCCAGCCCCTCCTCCCTCAGACCCAGGGCCCCAGCCCTTCCTCCCTGAGACCCGGGACCCCATCTCCCTTACCCAGGAGTCGCAGCCTCTGCTTCCTCTTCCTTCAAACCCAGGAGTCCAGACCTCCAGCCCCTCCTCCCTCAGACCCTGGAGTCCAGGCCCCCAGCCCCTCCTCCCTCAGACCTGGGAGTCCAGGCCCCCACCCGCTCCTCATTAGACCTGGGAGTCCAGACCCAGGCCCTCCACCCTGGGACCCAGGAGTCCAAGCCCAGCCTCCTCCTCCCTTACCCAGGAGTCCGGGCCTCTGCCTCCTCCTCCCTCAGACCGGGGAGACCCTACCCCAAGCCCTCCTCCCTGGGTTGGGGCCCTTGATTTGCTCACAGCAGCCATGTTCCCTTCCCGCCTGCAGTCGGAGCTGGCTCCTGGCTCCCGTGACTGGAGACCCCAGTTCCTCTCTCATATCCTGTCCGGAGGCTGCTCCCTGACTCCAAGTACATCCAACCCCACCTCCCAGCTGCAGGGCACACCCCAGGCCCTGGGCCCAGCCTCTCTGGGTGTCTCTCTTACAACTTTTGTGTGTGGGTTTTTTTTTTTTTTTTGTCTCTTTGCTGCTCCATAGTTTTTACTTTGAGGGTGTCAGCCACCCAGGGAATTCACGACAAAGCTAAGAATGGAACCCCTCTGCTGTCCAAGACCAAATTGTGGAGGTCTCCGTGGATCCTCGCCTCACCTCTGGACGCCCCGGTGGTCTTCACCCGCTGCTGCTGACCTGAAAGCCCTCAGAGGTGCCCATATTTCCTCCTTCAAACCCCTCCCCTGAGTTTCCCTCAATAACACCTACAGATGTTCTCCGGTGCTTCTGCTGTCTCCTACACAGCCGCCCCTTCAGAGGCCCCTCCAGGCAGGTGCCCCGCCCACACTCCTGCCAGAATGCTGCTGTTCATTTTACTTTCTTGTTTTATATTGCGGTTCCAGGCCCCACCCTGCCTCTCAGGCTGGAGTGCAGTGGCAGGATCAGGGCCACCACAGTCTCGACCTCCTGGGCTCAGGATCCTCTCGCCTCAGCCTTCCAAGTAGCTGGGACTACAGGCGCGTACCACCACATCCGACTAATTTTTTGAGATTTTTTTTTTAGAGACGAGGTCTCATTATGTTGCCCAGGTTGGGCTCGAACTTCAAGGCTCAGGCAGTCCTCTCGCCTCTGCCTCCCAAAGTGCTGGAATTAGAGGCATGAGCCACCGAACCCGGCCACTTTATTCTTTTTTAATGCTGAATAATTGTGTGGATTGACTGCATTTTGGTTTTCCATGCATTGGTTGACGGACAATTCCATCAACCACTATTTTTTTTTTTTTTTTTTTAGTTTGAATCTCACCCTGTTGCCCAGGCTGGAGTGCAGTGGCACACTCACAGCCACCCCAGTGTCGACCTGCTGGACTCCAGTGATCCTTCTGCCTCAGCCTTCCAAGTAGCTGGAACCACAGACATGGGCTATCACACTTGGCTAATTTTTTTTTTTTTTTTTAATTATAAATTCTCCCCATGAGCCGGGCTCTGTGGCTCAGCCTGTAATCCTGCGCCTTTGGGAGGGTGAGGTGAGTGGATTGCCTGAGCCCGGGGGTTCGAGACCCGCCTGGGCA